AGACATTCAACCAATTAATCAATCAATAACGAACAAAGGAAGGAAAATAATTTCAGACATTGATGGACTAAACAATGAAAGGGAACAGAAATTGTAGGAGGTTGGAGTGACCATGGCTATTTTAGAAAAAATAGTCAGGAAAAGTACCTCTGACAAGGTGAAAAGCGAACAGAGATAGACTATGTGGAGTAACCCATGCAAAAGAGTGGGAGAAGAACATTCCAGAGGAAGTACATAACATGTCTAAAGGTCAAAGGCAGGAACAAACCTGATGTTCGGAAGAGCACCACTGTGGCCAGTGTGACTGACAATATTGAGCAAAACCCAGATACAAGATTAGGTGGGGGAGGTAGATGGGGCCAGGCAGTTAGGAAGACAGTGGATTTCAAGTCTTGTCTAGTTATCCAATGTCTGGGCTTCCTCGAGGACAGTTCCTATTGATTCCTTTTTTTCTTGTGAATGGGCTATACTTTCTTCTTTTCATGCCTAGTAATGTTTTCACTGTTGAAAACCAAGTATCTTGAATATCATAATGTGATATCTCTGAATGTCATTCTCTCCCGTCCTCAGAATTTGTTGTTGTTGCCAGCTCTGGATTGTAGTTGTTTGCTTAATGACTTTTCTAAACTGTTTTTTATAAAGATTGTATTCTTTGTCTTAGGCGCCAACTGAAGTCTTTGTTCTGTTAGATTACTGGTCGGCTAATGATTTGACCCAGATTTTCTTAAGTGTCTGGAACCAAAAATAAAAAAATACTCTCCCAGACTTTGTAGATTGGTTGGGTGTTGAGGTACTCCTTCAAGGCATATCCAGGCCATTTACAACTCTGCCTCAGCCTTCTCTTCCTGCTTGCACAGAGCCTAAAAAGTCAGTCAGAGATGAAAGTCTAAGGTTTTTTTTAGATCTTTTCTAGATTTCCCTGTTATGCAGATGCTTTTTAAAGCCCTTGTTCCGCCCCCCCCACATCTAATTACTTCCTCAGCCTCTTTCTTCCCAGACTCCTCAATCTGTCTAATATTTGCCCCATCTTTTATGCCTTTTTCCAGGTGGCTATACCTAGTGTATATTTTCCTTTAATTCTTTTGAAAAATGCCTTCTGGCAGGCCACTTCAGTCTGAAAAGCTCTGAGATGAGGCAGGTGAAACAAAGGCAAGCTCCAGAGCTGATCTTTCAGGTAACTGCTAGACAGGTCAAAGCACACAATCATAATTTTTTAAATACAAGATCCCTCTGGTGCCAGTAAACTGCCCCAGGAATGTGCAGTCTTTATGGCTGATGCTAAGCTAGGAAATAGGAGATGGTAGACAAGTAAATAAAAATGCCATAATGCTGTCTTGCCAAAATTATTTCCTCATAAGCATTCCCTTAGTTGTTGTAAATTTCTTATTAGATTCCAGAGTTCAAAAAAATTGATTCTAAATGTTCTTTCCAACTTAACCGTTGCTTTAATGGAGTTTGGGAGTTCCTTATCATAGTCTTCTCAGT